TCGGTCGGGACGTCAAGCGAAAAGAGGAAAGTGGCTTTTTTTGCTTCGAGAAAAAGAAATGACTGACTTAACAAGTGGCAGAGAGACTGTCGAATGAGACGGTATGCCAAGAGGAAAAATGATTCGAAAATGATGGAGAAGAAAAGAGAAAAGGGTAAAGAAAAAGCAAACCTATCAACTTTGAGGCAGTGATGATTCGATCTTGACAATCGAAAGATGTCGAGGCAGGAGCTACCTGATCCAACTAGACGTGACTTCCTGTTACTGAGATGAGACATGAGGCAAACGAGATGTCAATTTCGTGTTTGCTTCATGAATCGGTTCAATCATCACAAGCCTCTACTCATTCGACTCTGTACATACAGATATTCATCTTCTTTCGGTCCCCCACTTCAATCTTACAGCACATGGCAAGGGACGGAACCGCACGTGGCATCAGAGACAGCCACGGTCCAGAGAACTATTGAACCTTTTGAACAACAACATATGCAATGTGATTGTGATATGAAATCCTCTGATGCAGGACAAGTCAACTTCAGAGTTCAGTGATGATGACTCGAGCAATTGAGCAATTTATGTCCTTTCACAACATCCTATTTGGGCATGCTAATGCTGTTAGATTTCCGAGTCAGCCTCAATCCCACCCACCCAAAGTCACTTTCTACTGTCAAGCCCTGCGGTTTTCTATGCAAGTCTCCCAGGCACAATCACACTGTTACATTTGAACCCTTGTTCTTCCCCGGTGCATGATCCCTGTAGAAATCCAGGTACGTTTTCTGCGCATATCTCTGGTCTCTCCTCGCGCATCTCTCCCTTCGTCCTATCTCACTATCCTCTGTGTACTGTACTCACTTGCGCTGACTCGAGTACCAGCAGCACCTTCTCTATGATCCACTAGCTCTTGTCGATCCCGTCTTCGAGATGCAAGCCAGGATCTTTGTGCAGATTGTCCGGTTCGCTGATCTACCAGAGCATGGACCACGCACCACGGCCCAGTGACAACCGCCGCGCGTGTGTGGCCAGCAGGGCATTATTCGGTTTCCCAATAGCTTGCGGTCGGCGTACCCTCTTTGGTCCCAAAAGGAACACCGGGGCTAGTCTTACGCTTGACAAGGGAGAGACAATTTACACTGGTAAATCACCCGGCACTAGTCAGCACAAGTCAGGGGTAAACCTACTGCTCCCAAGAAGCAAGAAAACCTGGGACCTCGATCCTGAGTGACAAAATAAGCCTTACGAGAAACCTCTTAACCCTGGGGAAACTAGCCTGATATTATGATCACCTGCACAAGTATTTTTGTCATCATTTATCAAGGTCCCAAGTTTTCTGACCTCCCCTGGATTGGAGTTGGATGCTCATAACGGCTTCTTCTTTCCATCAAGCTTCTGCTGACTCTCCCCCATGAAATGGTCTCTTGTGTCTATTGGTCGCCTGATGATAATAGCGTGGGCTATTAAGAGTCTGTGCGAGCATGTCTTTTAATGTTGTGCATCGTCAATCCACGCCTCACCCGCACGCACGAGCATGATGGTTTGTTAGTGACGTTACTTTCCACAGCACAACTTTATTTAAACAATATCAGAGTTTAAGCATGAATAATGAACAGAAAGGCTTCCTCACAGCTCGTCAACTCTTCGCAGGTTCATCCCAAAGCCTCGCATCATCGTCGATCTAATCGATGTGTATCCACAGCTTCGACCCGACAAGCAAAAGAACCTTTCCTCACAACAATCACAGCAGAAAAAACAGAAGCTTGGTACCAAGAATGGCTCTGACCCTTGATACCATCGGGCCGGATCGTCTTCCCCCGGCGGGCCCAAGCCAAATTTGGTGCTTCACCGGGGGGTTATTCCGACTGCTCTTTTGAATCCCAGTCGTTCTGTTCCTGGCTAAACGAAGCGGAACCAGTCAACCGCAGCCTAGAGAAAGAGGGCCAAGGTTGCAGCGAGATTAGGGGATGGAATTTTCGAAATGGAAGCTCGGGAGAAGGGCCCACGAATGTGATGGCTCACGTAGAAAAGTGCCGCCTTTCAGCATTCCAGTCGACGGACAATATCACCGACCCGAGAAACTCTCCAACGTCCAGGTAAACTTGACTTGTTCAGGATATCTTTAAGCGGTCGGGATACCGCGCTAACTAATGAATTGGGTCTTGGTAATGCATTCAATCTTGCATATCCATTCCGCACCATTTTTACGATTACCTCAATTCGGACGAAAGGGTGGCACAGTCTTGCTCAACTTGGCCGATATTACGGTACATCCATCCCCAAAGTGCCCAATCTACAGAGCCATCCATCCCAATATCTCAGTAGCATTTTGCGTTGTTTTTCATCACTGCTCATTTACCAGCTTTCACAAATCCCATGTCTCCCCAATAAAAACAAACCCCCTGCCACCGGGAATCTTCCCCGAACACTCCCTCGGTTCCGCCATTTCATTTCAGTTTCTCGTTAACAACGCCCTTTTCTTCCCATCCCACATGGCAACCTTTCCTCGCTGGTAAACTCTCATTCAGCCTTTACTGGATATTGACCATGTGCGTGGCGTCGGGCTTTCTGTATTAGGTTCAGCTAGGCTTGTCCTAGATACAAATCCGTGTCTGTGCCGTGCCCCGGACTCTGGACGGTTTTTGTCTTGCATGACTCTTGCGCTTTGATCTCCAGTTCACGCAGTGATGACCTGATCCTTATCCTACTGCCAGGACCATCTCTGTGCCCGAGTTGAGAGCATGTGAAGGCTGGCTGAGGCATCGAGATGATGGAGAAAACATGAGAGATACCGAAAGAATACATCTTTTTCAGGGTTCACGAGGCAGCAGTAAATCCCCTGTCATTACCACGTTTTACCACACTCTGGGGACTATTGACGCCGCAGAAGTGCATAAAATCCCATGTCCTTCAACCCATTCCATGCATTCCCCCAAATGAGCCCATATCCGAATATCATCCAACACACGCCCATCTGCACCATCTCCCACTTCCCATTCCTAGACCCAACGACTTTCTTTGAGAACAACTCACCAGGGGCAATCCCGGACCGTTTCAGCCATGGCCAGAAACAGACCTTCCCTCCGAAGATCCCCTTCGCTTCGTTGACCAGAGAGCCGGTAACCTAGGCTGTTCTCGTCATTTAAACTTTCTCGCTTGGGTTTCAGAATACGGGCTTTTGTCCTGACTAACGGAGGTTTTTTTTGGGTTGGATGGGTTTGCGACAGGAGAGCAACAGAAAACGGTAGCTGACTCGCTTGGGGATGACGATTGATTGCCTGAAACGCACTTGGAATGACATGCTGGTGATGAGATAGATCGAAGCTTGTCTGTTTCCGGGTGAGGTTGGGCTGAAACTGAGGTTCTTTGTGAGTGGTGACAGTTCCGATGAGATTTAGTCTGGATGAACATGAATCGGCGATGATCTTTACGTCAATGATATAATAGGAGACGTCGCAAGTGTCCAAAGTTGTCCAGTGCTTGCGCCTCGATGACCAAGTTGGCTAAAGAATGCGAGCCTAAAGGGACACAAGGTATGGTGCCTGAACAGCATGAATGCTAAGCTTTGTCTCATCAGCAGCCACAAGCGATTGAGCAGCTTAGCTCCTCGGAGATGCTCATCAAGGGACACACAACTGAAGATGGATTCGAGCGGCGTCGATATCTGAAACTACCTACCTTTGAGTTTGTGCACTGATAAGTGCCAGCCCTATTCATGCCTTACACTAGTTCAGCTGAGATAGCATAACAACGTCACGACATTTACAAGGCATAAACGTACAGTTGTGGCATTCATATTAAGTTCACATTCACAAGTGATGAGTGTAACGTTTGCTTCGTCGGCAATGGGCTGCGGATAGAATGATATGTGACTGTAGTTAACTGCCGAGTTGTTGCAACAAGCCGTGTTTGACGTTGCGTTTAAGCTCATGGATCATCAAACGTGCTGCCGCGCGTATAAGTCATGTTACCTGACGATATGTCTGTTGGAAAGGGTCCAGGTGGGGTTGAGAGAAGAGCACTTATGGGAATAACTGTAATATGCGGACATGGGCTTCAACTTCAAGCTCCACTGGAAAGTCCAATTGTTACTTTATATAAACCCAGAAATAGAAACTGATAATATCTTTCTTAACATGAATTTGGACCCGGTTCATGGTGCTTGAATATGCTTAGCAATCATGTTCTCAAAGTTATCCTGCCCAAATCAAAATGAGACCGAGAGACAGCTATTCAGCACGTAACAATAACCTTCGGCTATCAAGAATTGACAAATGATTTAGAGATAACCAGATATCTTATCAGTAATCCAAGACATAGATACGTAGTTGGTTCCCTTAAATTTCTCTTATCCTCTAGCCTGCTGCGTGGCTTGTCCTAAGCACGACTCAAGATTTGTCTCGGGTAGGTTCTGAATAGCCTCGTCACATCAGATCTGAGTTGACAAAAAACAAGTCACGCAACATTGTTAGAGGAAATGTGATTGGCAAGCTGTTTATGTGTGCTTTTACCGCTCGCCCAGTAGGCAGCGTCCGCCATGCTTTTGAGTGTGGTGCATGAGACAGAATGCTGCAGGTCTCATTGGCTACAAACCACACCAAGGACTGTTGGTCGTGCTCTTTTCTGGAGATATTCACCCTGGGAACTCGCAGTAAACTTTGTATTGTACAGATACCGTATTAACATGAGCTCCTTGGGGGGCCATATTATGATGTCTTCTTCTCTCATTCAGCAGATACATACATTCTATCAAATAGGATGAGGAAGAGGTCCATCAACGGTACCATCGCTCATCATCTTCTGCTTTCGGCCTCATTATCTTACCTAGGTGGCGCTTTCAAAATACCAAGGCACATCAGCACAGCCTCATCAGGCTGTCAATTCGACCAGTGCCATCCAACTTCACATTTCTTCCTCCTTTCACATCACATTCATTTCGAGTCGAATAACCAGCATCATCTACGGAGTAACCGCATTTCAGCAATCGATCTCAAATTGGAACGTCCGAGATGTCAGGTCTTGAGATTCTCGGAGCGATCGCGAGCTCTATTGCTCTGGCGCAAGCCGTCCAAGGGACACTCAAGGCTGTCGACTTTCTACGCCAAAACTCCGATATGAAGGGGGAATGTAACAAACTAAGGAAAGAAGTAGGGTCAATGAATTAACGTGGAAATAACCGGTGCTGAACATGGCAGATACTCATGATTGACTGCTTCATTATGCAGGCCAGAGAACAGACAGATCCGATGATGCCAGCGCAACGACTCATTGGATCTCCAGAACACCCACTAGTCTCTTTGACAATACAAGAGCTCGAAGAGATATTGGAAGAGCTTAATGAGATTGTGGAGAAGTACTCACGCTCTCGCAAAGTCCACGACCCGAAGAGGTACACAGATAAGGTGAAGTGGTTATTAGATGCAGGCAAAATCGAAGAGCTTCGAGAAAGAGCTCAGGCTACAAAGTCCAACCTGCACATGGCCATCACATTTAGGGTTTCTTCTATGGTAGATAGGGGGAATGTGCGACAGGAAGTGTGAGTTTCCGGGGTGTCGTCTGTTGTCTAAACTGACGCATTGGCAGTCTCTTTCACCGTGTTACACAACAGTTGACTTACTATACGCAAGAGACTCATAATATCTCCCAGACTTTACCGAAACTACTCCAGGGACCCCAACCTGAGCCAGAAAGTTCAACGACGAGCCTACAACCCGCGACTCAAGGCACAACGTTTCACCACAAGCCTGACTCACAAGCGACGGAGGAAAGCAGAATTATTGGGGGCTCAAAGGTTCATTGCGCGGATAATGCTGAACATCGCATTGCCACTTTCAATGGGGAGAGCTTTGTTAGTGTTACAACCATCCAAACCTTCTGCACACGTTCGTGCGGCTCGAAATGCCAGTGTCGATGTCACCAAGGACGACGAGAAGACACTGGTACATGGGCAGGCTCCCTTCTTTATTCATGGCTCATTCGATATGATAAAACAGACAACAACTACCGAAATAGATGCAGGTGCAAGTCCAGCGTTGAGTTCGAATTTCGGCTTCCAAGCTGGCTATGGGCTGGAGTTCTTTCATTTCAGGCATCTCGAGGATCCAATATCAACCTTTCCTTACGTCTATCAAGGGTTCTCGAATCAGTCGATGACTTATGGATTACAATGTCAAACCCGTCCTTACTAGTAGCCCGTATTAGAGAGGGGTTTGTATACTTTCCAGACGACACAGTTGAAAGTGAGTGGCCCTTGTTATTGGTAAGTAAAGCGGGCGTAAGTAGTGTGATAAACTTGTTGATGAAATTCATAGATGGCATTATATAACCAAAGTTCGGACTGCGTAGAAATTCTCCTCAAGCTTTGGGGAAATATATTACCCAGCCAGGGACTTTCCAGGTTCGTCTCGTTTAAAAAAGGATGCGATGGTGTCACTGATACATGGTTAGGAACATCGGGTATGAACTTAAATCATATTTTACTAACGGTGACGAACCTGAAATGGACATGGCAATAGAAAAAACCTTGTCTTTTGTGCAAGACTGGGCCGATGTGAGCACAACTAAAGTTCACATAGCGGCAGCAGGAGGAGGAGTGTTGGAGGCACTGCGGGAGCAGCCTTGGGCTATCGACGAACTCGACGAATATGGAGAGGCTCCAATGCACGTTGCAACTGTAACTAACAACATGTTGGGACTCGAGCAACTGATGGCGGCCAAGGCTGATGTCAACCGGCAGACTCCCTCGGGCTATACCCCCCTCATGACAGCAGCCGCCTACGGGAACGACACAATGTTACAGAAACTTTTGAGTCACAGCGAGTGCATGAAGCGTATTAGTCAATGCAATTCTCAAGGTATAACTGCGCTACACTTTGCTGCCAAATCAGGGTCCCTAGCCTGTGTCAAACTGCTACTCGAGGCTGGAGCGCCCACATCAAAGAGAGACGGCTATGGTAGGACTCCAATGCACTACCTTGCATGGGTAAATCATGAGCATCAGCAAGAGATTCGCGAGACAATACAGCTTCTACAAGACTATGGGGCAGATATCGAATCGAAAGATCTCAATGGTATAACGCCAATTTTATGGGCATGTCAAAAAGGCAATGTCTCAATCTTAAGGGCTCTTGTTAGGGCAAGTGCGTCACTCGGTGCCATCGATTCGAGTCGAAATGGCATTATACATGTGGCAGCCCTTTCTAACAACTTTGACGTTGTCCATTACCTCGCAGAACAGGACCTTGAGGAAATCGACCCACAGCTTCGAGGCCTCGACCAGAATAGCACTCCTCTGGGCAGCTTAAGGTGGATTTTTGATGAATACTTCATGCATTCCATCATTGTTCCTAGTCAAGAGCAACAACAGGACTTCATTAAATTCTATTTTAAGTTGCTGATACGCAACTTGGAGCGTCATATGTCAACCCTCCGGAATATTCAAGAAGTAATAGAAGATAGAGACTCGGGGGCCACAGAAAAACTTCTCGATATACTGATCAAGAGGAATGAGGTCAGTTTTCGGCAAGAACTTGTTGGCTGGTATAGAGGACTCAAGTTTTATGTTTCAGATGGTCAGTGGGATAAGTTGAAGGAGGCTATATGCGAGGAATATGATGAAATTTCGGACAAGGCTGAAAGAGCGGCGATTGCGAGAGGGAAGACATTGACGGATCCTGAGATGGAGGAATTTTTCTAATACCAACATGAAACTACCAGGATATCTTCTCGTCAGGGCGCAAAGTAATAGATTTTGTATTCCTTCCAAAGTAAGCTATCTACAAATCATCTCTTCTCCGTGAGTTCCCCTGTCCTTGTCAGCTCATCATCGCCTTGTCCATAAAGAACATGATCAGACAAGTCTTCAACCTTCAAGAAACACTTTCGGCCCTTGATAACCCAGAACCCAAGTCCGATGACCAACATGACTCCGAACACGACAATAGCAAAGTTCATATCCCCAACGGCTGGGTTTGGCGATCCAGGGAAGAAGAAGAAAACAGTCGTGATGACGGTGTAGATGATGGAAATAACGTTGAGTGCTGGCCCAAATCTTCCAAGACCAAACTCTCCTCCCGCGGGTAACTTGTCTCGACCAACGGCCATCAGGACAGCGATGGGGATGGCGTATGAGATTGTCAGAGCAATAGTGCTGACACTCAAGATGGCTGAAAGGGTAGTGCTTGAGAAGAAGTATAAGAATCCAAGGATGTTGATGAAGGCACCTTGGAGGATCAGGGAACGTGCAGGGACTTGCCAATAGGGGTCGACGTAAGCGAAGTAATCGCCATATGGAAGACCTCGATCACGAGCAAAACTCCAGGTCAATCTCGAAGCTGAAGTCAGGATTGACACACCCTGGCCGAATCCGTTGAAGGTGAAGAGAGCGATCAACACCGCACCACCTTTGAGACCAACGACATTCTGAACGACCTCGATGAAAGGAAATCCAGTGGGAGCATCCAAAGTCGTAGCAAGGTCTTGAATGCAAAACAGGCAGGCAACCAAGAAAATGAAGCCTGAAATGGCACCCATAACAATAGCCAAAACCATTGTTCTCGGGGCATTTCGTCGAGGAGCAGGGATTTCCTCAACCATGTGAAGAACAGAATCGTACGCAGTCAACGCATACGCAGACTGAACGAGTCCAAGGAACCAAACAACGCCATCAGCCCAGCCCGTTTCATTGATCCAGGTTCCAAAGACGAATTTCGGTGATTGATACTCGAGAGTTGAGTTAGTTCCAACGAGGATAGGAAGGGCGAGACAGAAAGCGATGAAGAGACCGACAAAACCAACGGCGACAAAGTTGTTGAACCAGGGGAGGAACCTTTCTGAACGGCAGCCGACGTAGTTTACAAACGTAAACAAGATGTTGATACCAGTGTAGACCAGAAACATGAGCCATCCGTTATTCATCCCTGTCCACTCGGGATCAAACATGAGTTTCATCGACAGCACAAACTCCGCCATGAAGGCAATCTGCGAAGCAGAAAGACACCACCACCCAACAACACTGATGAAAGCCGTCAAGTAACTCGCAAACCTGCCCCACGAAGTCTTCCAAAGCTTGCCCACCCAGAGCGCTTGTCCAAGAGCCGACGGCATGCTAGAGCACATCTCACCAAGAGACATGGCGATACACACATTGCAGAGTGTGACGAGGACAAGGCCCCAGAGACAAGTAACAGGTCCGCCGTTTTGGATACCTGTTGCGAGGGATTGGGCGCAGACGGCCCATGTACCGAGAATGCAGAAGGCGAGGGATAGCATGCTCAGGGTGCTGAATTTTCGGGTGAGTGCCTGCTCGTGCCCGAGGGCTGCGAGGTCAAGGGCATCGCGTTCGGCCTGGTTCATTTGTGTTGTTTTTTCCATGGTACGCCAGAGCTTGAGTCGATGGTCGGATGAGTGTAGTAGAGGGTTGTGATCATTCTCTGGCAGTGAGCAAGATAAATGTATAATAAGATGTATATCAAGTATGATACTGAAGTCGATACTGGTATTTGTTGATCTACTACAGGACATCGCCGTCTTATATATCCATCACTTATCTTTTACCCCAGACTCCAATGTTACACCAGCCCGTGCGCTAGCAAACCTCCGCATAGAAACAACGTGCAAAGTATACACCCTTTTCAGTTTAGTGCAGGCGATTTGGTAGGTTTTCCGGGTGGGTTTCCAACTGGAGAATAGATCGCTTCCAGGGACTGCACGGGTGACTCGGCCGGTTGGTACCTTATCTAACGGTCGCATTACCTCATGGGTTTTGGAGGGGAGCTGATAAGGATGAAAGTTGGAGATATTGGATCTAGAACGAGTACATTGGGGATTGTTATTGGTTGTTAATCTACGAAGAGTTAGCTATCGCTTTAACATTCCTAAGAGGGTAATGGGGGACAGAAAAGGGAGGGGTCGTCATCTGCAGAATCTCGCGACTCGGTATTTATCACAGCTTCATATTTTCTGAGCCCTTTATGATAGCTTCTGTGAACTCCCATTTCAAGGAAACGGTTGAGAACAGAAGCTTTCGTCTAAATGTATGCGTTGTGAACTATTGAGGAATGGTCGTAGAAAGAAGTGTCCATTGAACTTTGCCCGAAGAGCTGTGTCTATAAAGATGAAGCTGTATTGCTACCTGGAGATTTACCTTCTCAGCATTTGTTAATCAACACATACACTAGTCACCTTTACACCTTGTACTAAGCACCATGGCCGATAGTGAGTCCAATACAGTGGTTGGAGAAGAACAGTACGACGAAGCACGAAAGAACTGGCTCGATACAGCCAAAGTAGCTCAGCAGGCCAAAAACGAAGCCAAACAGAAGTACAACGAAACTGGCCCTGGTACACCGTTCGTAGAATGGCTCTTGAGAAAGGTAGGCACAAGTTTGTATTTCCGGGCCGAGAATAGTTGGCATTTGTAAGTCGATGTCAAGTTATGTAAGGATTAGGAAATGTTTTTGACCAGATATGTTCGTGCATTAGTATATGCTTCTAAAGTCTAAGTTGGCCGAAGAGCAGCGTACTGTTGAGGCTGAGTACCAACTATAGCAATGTCCACAGGGCTTGTGTGCACTGTAGCTAAAATGGACGTCAAGCAACACAGTATCCTCTGCACCTTAAGGTACTCAAAACACACAGCACAACCACTTCGCGATATGTTACAATTGCAATCTCTTTACCCCGTGGGGAAGATCTCACGATGATCCCAAAAAGCAATCCATCACGTAAAAGAAATAAACTCCCATCATCTTGATCGTGATAACACCAAAAGCATGGACGTTAAAATTGGGCTTCGGCATTGACCAGGATCATCATCTCGGCCCACACACATCAAAGATGGTGCTTGTACGAATTAGGAAACTTCGGGCGACGAGACTGATAAGACGGGATCATTTGTTCTGTATCAATTTTGGATTTCTTTTGTTTGACTACATGTCCCAAATTCAGGGTCCTTTTGATGCCCCCCTTCTTCACTTCTTTTTGGCAATCTGATTCTCTGCTGCACTTTGAATCTGGCTGGATTAGTTATGTTCAAAGGATGTGAATGTGAGATGGACAACCTACTAAGCATAGTACACGGCCCCCTTCCTCCACGCTCTTCACCCCGTACTCGACGCGGGCTCTTTTTTCCTGGTTTCTGATTGACTGTCCATGTCACTGAACTACCGACTCTTTGCTTATGCGATGAGGTCGGCAACGTTCATGGGCATCTCGTCGATCTGGGTAGAGTAGTACACTAAAAAGTCAGCTTCATCCATGACCAGACGATATCAAGGACACTTACACTCAATGTCTCTCAGGATGCGCACATCTTCGGTAGTAACAAAGTTGATAGCAACACCCTTGCGACCAAACCGACCACTTCGACCGATGCGGTGGATGTAGTTCTCTCGGTTGCTAGGAAGGTCGTAGTTGATAACTAAACTGACCTGCTGAACGTCGATACCACGAGCCCACACATCAGTCGAGATGAGAACACGGCTGTTACCCTGTCGGAAGTCCTGCATGATGCTGTCTCGTTCCTTCTGAGGCATGTCGCCGTGCATGCTGCTGACTGTAAAGTTCGCCTCGCGCATCTTGTCGGTGAGCCAGTCGACCTTGCGTCGGGTGTTGCAGAAGATGACAGCTTGCGTAATAGTGAGGGTGTCGTAGAGATCGCATAGCGTGTCGAATTTCCAGTCCTCCTTCTCCACGGCGATGAAGTACTGCTTGAGACCTTCGAGGGTCAGTTCGTCACGCTTGACGAGAATGCGAACGGGATCGGTCATGAATTTGGTCGTCATGTCGAGAACGTCGTATGGGAGGGTGGCGCTGACGACCACGACTTGAGTGGCAGGGGGGAGGTATCGGTAAACATCGTAGATCTGCTCGCGAAATCCCTTGTTGAGAAGCTCATCGGCCTCATCAAGGACCAGCATCTTGATGTGTCTGGTGCGCAAGTGTCGTCGTCGAATCATGTCGGCCACACGGCCGGGGGTGCCTGAGACAATGTGTTGACCGTAGTCGAGCTTGCGGATATCCTCTCCAACGTTTGTGCCTCCAATACAAGCGTGACATTGCACGTTCATGTAGTCGCCCAGGGCCATCACAACGGACTGAATCTGAGTAGCCAATTCTCGTGTCGGTGACAGGACCAAAGCCTGTGTCTCTCGCACCGCGGTATCGATGACCTGCAGCATACTGATGGAAAAGGTAGCTGTCTTTCCGGTACCAGACTGCGCCTGAGCAATGGTGTCGCGACCCTTGCAGACCTGAACGATGGCTCGAGACTGAACAGCAGAAGGCGACTCGTATCCGTAAGCGTAGATTCCACGAAGCAAGTTCTCTGTCAAAACATTAGCTACATCACGGACCTGACCCTCAAGACATACCCTTCAGCGACATCGACTCGAAAGTAGGATGGACCGTGACCTCCTTGGAGGTGGAAAATTCCATCCTCTCATCGGCCTTTCGATCAATTCCTCCAGCGCTTTCAGCCATGATTTCGTCTGTTGTTGATGATTATTTGTAAGGTGAAGAATTGCGCATTCGCGATGAAGTTGGGGCTTTTTCTGGGGTCAAAGTTTTGGTCCGCAACTTTTAGAGCAAAGACGTAACACGCGCGCCGGATATTCTTCGGCCGGGAATGCGCGCCTGAACGCCACTGAAACTCGCGACAGGCTCCGTAATTTTTTAAGCATCAAGCTCATCTCAACT